AAATTATATTTTACCACGAAAAAAGTTTTCTCAGTCCCCTCAGTTTCGTGTTAAACGATTTTCACCGTTCTTTGAATAACTGCAGTATTCGAATGATCATAATTGCGAGCTCGTCGTCGTTATCAGTCGATCCCCGTGTTCAAGCAATGATTTCCCCAAGATCCCTCTATTTATTGAAATAGAAGACCAAGCTCACCAAGTAGTGACTCAGAGGTCTTAGTTAGGTCTCCAAGGAAGACCCTGAAATATGCCAAGGACCACTTCAGTGCAGAGGCTGTTATTGGCTTATATAGATGATACCGTTACAACTGTACTAACATCAAGTGTCATCTACTACAAGTTTAAAAAATGCATTTAAATTTGAATGGATGAATAGAAAGAATTTTATTAACAACAGAAAATGTGATCAAGATATATATATATATATATATATAGTAATATAAAATAAAAGTGAAGAAGTACTAAAACCTACAATGCTAAAGCAAGAAGAAATTGGAATTCACCAGACACAACAAATGTAGATGCAAAAAAGTCTTTGGATTTGGACTAAACTGGAGACCTATTATGATTTCTAAGGCTGTGTCGCTGAATTAGGCCAGCGAATTAGGGTTAGCAATGCTTTATGAATCCAACCTTCCCCGTACAGACCTTACACTATATTTAGGGAGAGAGTTAAATAATAGTAAAAATTGAAAAAAAGAGCTATTTGAAAGTTTGAATAACCATATGCAAATTAAATTAAAATAAAAAAGGGCGAGACATTTTACTATTCAAAATCTATAAATATTTAAATAAAAAACTAATTTTAATAATTAAAATAATTAATATTTATGTATTCAATACACTTTAAAAATTTATACTGATAGAAATTTTTTTTATATAGATTTTTGCTTTTTATAACCATTGTCCACTTTTACTTTGAGACTAGTTCACCTAATATGTCACATTCTTCAATTTGTCATGGTTTGGAAGCATAAATAAATTATAGTTTTAAAAAAAAATACTAAAGAACACGCTTTTATAGGTAATCGGACTAAAAAGTAAAAAAATAACTCTTAATATAAGAATAAAATGATTAACGAGAAAATGAATATCATTGGGATAAAAGATGGGGTGCCCTATATCATTTGTTATAATTTCTTACTAGCTCTATTCCGACATGCTAAGTTAGTGTAAAAATGTAATACAAAGCACCCCACACGCTTTTACCTCAATGACATTAATTTGCTCGTTGATCATTTTATTCTTATATTAAGAATTATTTTTTTACTTTTTAGTTCGATTAAACATAAAAGCTTATTTTTTAGTTTTTTTAAACTATAATTTATTCACATAAAGAACACTTTTTTGTTTGTTTGTTGCATTTGTATTAACCGTGAGCGTTTTCGCCGTAGGGTTGTAACCTAATCTTTTTGTCGCCAAATATGTAATTAGTCGTCAAATCTGGAAATAGGAAATCGTTAATCATGACGAACCTGATCAGGACAATGGAACAAAATTATTAAATTATTGTATTATCATTGGTCCTTGACAAGTGTGCAAAATTTTCAATTAATGTGACCTTTTTTAAAGTAGGTAAAAATCGAGTTCAGAGATTCCGTTACATAAGCTAATAAAAGCGTGTTAAAAAAGGTTGTCAAATCAGTTGTTGACTAATTTGATAATAGTCCAAAATATATTTAATGTAATTAAAAGTTAGAATTACGAACCTTGGCCTGCAGACCACATGCGGCCTTCTACTGGTTTTCTGAAGGTCCGCATCAGAATGAATTGATTTGCTGTTGACGACATTTTTTTTTTTTAACCTTTTTACTATACTTGTTTTATTTCCAAAATAAGAATTCGGGATTTTATTTTACTAATTAATCTTTCGGATAGCTCATAGTGAGCTTAAATATTGGAAGAGGTTTGCTCTGGTTTATATTACATCCTATTTAAATGAATTTATTCTTTTCTTTTGATTTTAATTTTTAATGTTAACTCATTTCCTTACAAAATTTGCACAGAGAAACAAGATCTGAAATTGTTGCGGATTAGGACTTAAGGTGACGATTATATCAATAGTAAAAATAGACGTGATAAAAATTTTAATATTTATTTTATTATTTTTTTATCAAAATATCGAAAATACTTATACATATGAAGCGCTTTATTCAACCGAACCCTAACGAAATATAAATGTCATTTATCTTAAATGAAGTCTCAAAGCAGTTATAAGACACTTGAAGAAACAGTTACTCGTATTTTCAAATAAATATCCTCAAGACCTAAATCAATCTTGCTGTGAAAGATTCAGAAAGCTCTCAATTCACTTTACTTGCATACATTTACATTTCATAGTAATCTCAAGTGATCATCGTCTATCTTCTCTTCTCCATTTCAACAATTGGGCCTACTTGTATATATCCTTTACAATATGAGGTTTTCAGCTTAAATAAGCGTAATAAAGAAACACCAGGTGTTAGTTAAGGGAAAGTACGCGTGAAAACCTGATACAAAATGAGCTACACCGTTTATAAGTTGAATTTGGGAAATGAGGAAATGACGAATAAAAGAGAAATTTCGGTACTTTTCTGTTAGCGGGACGCAAGCGAAAAATCGCCAAATAATGTAGAATTCCGCCAAATTTCTTACAACCATAAGAGGAATGTTCGTTTGGGGCCATGTGCTCTATTCTCTGAATTAATTCAAAACAAAGCACGTTTTCCATTTTAATTTTTGTTTTAAGAAATGAAGAAAATCCCTCGCTGAATTTATGTGGAGATCAGGAGTAAACAATCCATTTGATTAAATTCTCAAGGACTTTAAGCCTCTTTTATTCCGGAAAAACATATAATTATAAGCATTCTTTTTGGGTATGGGTAAAACTGTTTAGTTTGTTGAACTTGTTTTGCTTACTATTAATTAATACTTGTTTATAGTTGAACGTTTTCGACCTTTTTTCCGTTGACTGTTTTGTCATTCGCTTCGCTTGGGGAGTTGGCTCGCGTTTGGTTCACGATTGGCGACATTTGCGCTCAGCTAACGCGCGGAAAAGTACCGAAATTTCCATCTTATCATATTTAATTCGCATTTTAGTGGGTATAAGTTGTCTTAAAGTATAGCTGTTGCGAGAATATTCCTCAAAACAACAACAAAGATGGACATCTCTCAATAGCTACTACAGTTTTCATTCTAGCTGATGCCATGAGAGACTTAAACTCTGCACTTTGGCGTGATTTGGAAGTGGAGATATTTGGGAGCAAGTTCAGATGTCATTCTAGTGACTTTTGATCGAGTTCCGAAATTGCAAAATCCGTTGCCAATAACTCTCTCATACCATCGAAATGTGGTGTTAATAAATAATCGATCAATTAACCTATGGACCACATGCAAAGAACAAGAAAAAGAATTTCTTAAGTCAATTCCTACTTCGTTAGAAAAACGTACTGGCGCCATCTCTTGCAGCTAGTTGTAACTTCGTCAGAAATAACGCAGAATAAATTTGAAATTAAAAAATAAAATTTAATTAATGAATTAATATTTCAAAAAACTGTATTAACATCAAGTGACACCCACTACAAGTTTTAAAAAATGTATTTGAACTTGAATGAATGGAAAAAAAGTATTTTATTAACGATTGAAAATTTGAACACGATATATATATATATATAGGGGGAAGGAATGAACTAATAGTAGGGATTAAAAAAGACTCCATAATTAATTTTTAAGCGTTCAGCTACTGAAACTAAAAAATTTAATGTTTAACAAAATTTGAAAAAATTAAGCGTTTAAAAATAGTTTTAAATAGGGTTTATTTTTTTAAATGCAAAATGAGAAAAGATAAATTTTAAAAAAAAATGCTAATAAATTCTTCAGCAGCCGGAACATACCCGTTCCGTTTTGCACGAGGGAAGTCTTAAAATATAGCTCAACAATCAAGCTTGCAAAACTTCTTAATATTTGCGATAAATATTATCCCTTACATCTCTTCGTATAAATTTTTGGAAACAAAAATAGACCAATTATGTCATATGATACGATGTATGTGCGATTAACATTGCGTAGAAGATAGGTTATCTTCCTTATCTAAAAGGGAAACGGGGGAAATGCTGAAAATACCAAAAACTCACATTCATTGGTTTTTAGTTAAAAAATTTGTATAGAATGCACTAAATCAGAGGTTCCTTACCTCATATAACCCTTGCCGTGTTTTTCGGTTTGGAGTAGATCCCTCCTTACCGAATATTGAATTTTTGCAAATTTATCAACTTAAATGACTTTTTAACAGCTTGCATGAGCTACTTACTTAAAACTATTTAAATTTCTAACTGTAGTGAAGTATAGTGTTTAAAACTTAAGAAAAACACGTTAATTAGTTTTAAATTGAAATTTAATTAACGTATAAAATAACTGAGCAGCAAACAAATGCTTTTAATGGGAGGAATGAATCTGGTGCTCCAATAACAATTTTTCAACATTAGGAATCAATCTTGTCAGGTTTAACCCTAAATCTCCTCCATTAGTAGATTTTATTTTTTCTTTCTTTTTACTTTAGAAGATTGAATGCCTCGTTGAAACTACTTCTCACTGGAAAAGCAATTAAAATTTTTCTTATTATATTCAATAATTCGTGATAAATAAAAGGCATGTCTTTTTAAATCCAAAATTGCTGTGACATCCGTTTCTAAACTTTACTTAAAGATCTTCGTTAGTGCCTACTCCGATCAGTTCCTCTGGTAATATGACATTTTTTTTCAATTCCTACTATTAGTTCACACTCTCCCTATAGATATTTATTTGTTTATATATATCTTGTGTTAAGATTTTCAATCGTTAATACTATACTTTCTATTCATCCATTCAAGTAAAAATACAATTTTTAAAACTTATAGTGGATGACACTTGATGTTAATATAGTTCTTTTCAAAATATTATTTCCTTAATTAAATTAAAAATGAATATATAGTAACAAAAATATTAGTCCAACAGCATATATAGAAAGGAAAATTGTTCGTTGTGTCCCTGTAGATGCTATGGATAGTGCGTTGGATTTCTCCTCCAAAGGTCGTGGGTTCGAATCCCACCTGGGACGGCCTAATTTCTGAGAATGTGATTTCTTTTTACTATACTATTTTATTAGAATAATTAAGTTTAATTAATGAATAAATAGTAACAAAAAAAAAACCAAAAAATAGTCCAAAACGATACATAGAAAGAAAAGTGGAAAATTACAAGGGAAATCGTTTTCTATTTTGTCACTTAATATTGTGATACTGTCATATGTATGTACATATTTATATTAACTGCTTGATAAAAAATAACTAAAATAAAATTTTTCTTTGTTGATCTAAGTAGGGGGGTTAACTTTTTTTCTTTTATTTCTGTTTTATATTCTCTCATATATTATTTTAACTTCTTTTTTTTTATATTACTTGTTTTTCAATGTGATCACATGAATTCATTGTCTGCCGTGGTATTACTATAGTCAAAGCATTCTCAAACCTAGTTTCAAAATCTGAATAAAAGGCATTTTAATGGTAAACGTAGGTTAAAATGTCCTTTTCCGGACAGATTGCCTGACAAATTGAGAAACTTGGAAAATTAACCACGCGTACAATATTATACTCCTTTAGCTTAATTCTGGCAATAAACGATGAAATGAGGGCCCTTGTTTCAATAAAATGTATGCTTTCACCTTGTAACTGCAAATTTTCTTTTAAAATTAAAATTACGATTTGGTTTAATGAAATTCACTATCGTAGACCCCTATTTATATCTCAGGGACCCCTAAATTATTTTTTTGCTAACGTGGACCGTTTGCAGGTTGTCATAGAACCCTGGGGTTTCGCTAAAGTCCACTTTGGGAATCCCACATTAAATATTTCCCTTTAATTCTTAAAAGCCCTACATGCATTCAATATACCGTTTAAATATTATACCGTTTGAATCGATAAATATCCGGGTGAAATGATGTTAAAAAAATGACATATTTTGAAAACATAGCAAAAAATCGCGCGCTACTAGCCTTCCTTTTATTAATAAAGATCATTTTAAATATATTCTGGTACTGACAATGAAATATAAAAAAAAACCCGTCGCCCGTATATTTATTTGAAATGGTTTTAAATCAAGTAACATTAAGAACACCACGTTAAAATTTTAAAAAATGTAAAAAAAAAGTTTGTAAGGATTTTGATTTTTTGATTCTGAAACTTCTTCGAGAAATTTGTAAAAAGTGAGTAATAAAAATATACCTTATCAATGTTGCTCTAAATTTATTATATTTAAAAAAAGCAGTTAATTGACAATTATCTTACAAAGGGTAAATGAATATCACACACTGTATATTCCAGTTATAGTGTACCAATAATTGTGGAGAGAACTAACAGTGATTATCTCCATCCCACCCCAAGAAAGGTTTTAAATTAAGCTTCTCTCTTCCTGAAATCAATGGTCTCTAACTTGTGGGGGGACACGGTATCCTAGTGGTCAAGGTCACGGACATGAGACTGGTGTGTCATGAGTTTGAGCCTAGTGCCGCCGTAGAAGGAGCCAATGGCGTTAAATCTGTTGAGGCTCAAACTTCCTCTCGTTGGTGTGGTGTGGAAACTAGGAGAAGGGGATGCCATGTCAGGTGTCTTCCTCGTCACTTGAGCGTGGCTCAAAATTACGAGGTCTGTCACCAACAGCCCAGGTGCAGCTTTATAGTGCGACATTAATATAACCTTCTCTCACTCACGAACTCGTGACCAGCATGTCGTGGGTTCTAGTCTTGGTGTCATGGAAGACCCGACGTGTAGATAGGTCTCATACACGTTAAATCTGTCGTGTTCTCAAGGTCCTCCCGTTGGCGTGGTATGGTAGTTAGGATAGGATTAGCTCAGTTGTCGCTCAGGCTCCTCGATTGGCTGAGATTCAAAATTAGAAGGTCCGTCACCAATAGCGCTTGAGTTACCTGAGAGATCCACTAACATAGCTCTCTCCGCTATAATCAATGATAGTTACTGTATCATCCACCTTACATTCAAAGTATTCCTCCCCCCACCCCACCCGTTTGGATATCCCTTCTTTGAAAATGACCTTGAAAATGCAAGTGTTTCGCCTTCTATCCAGGGATTCGTGATACCGTAGAACAATTGTTGTATTGTTAAATTCAACAAATAGGTGAGGGATGCGCAAACTATGAAAACTTGGCTTGCAGGTGGTCTGGCAATTATTTATCATCATCATTATTATAATTTTATTTTTTAAGGTAACCTTTTACTAGTAATTTGTCTTTAGGCCAAATCTTACCTTTGAATGCAAGTTAAATACATTTCCAATATGCAATTAAGGTCAAGGCATTTCATACGAAAGGTGTCTGAAAAGTTCATTGCTAACCTCCAAATCATAAACGCTGAAGAAATCAACAGCATCTTTCAAAGAATTGTTTTTTTGTTTGCAAAAATTGAAATAACTTTAAAATTTTTTATTTAATCTTTAAAATTAAATATACGTAATTTTCCCCTGTTGCTTAAGAAAAAATTCTTGATTCAGGTATGGTTAATGGACGAAATTTTTTTTCTCTGAATGATCAGAACGTTCAAAATAAATTTGATAAAGATAGTTTTCTGTATTTCCATTCGGTCTATTCAATCAACGTCGCTACAAGCAAATTCCTTGAAATATGAAAATCTTTTTTTTAAAAAAAATATGTGTTTGAAAAAAAATTTTAAACTGAGAACTGAGTTAACTTACGTCCAACTGAGTTGGACGGGAAAAAAAATTGATGTTGTGTGGAAGTCATAAGAGGTGGTGCCAGCTAAGGTACTGTCCTTATCACTTGACCGTAGTTCAAAAGTACGAGGTCCGTCGCCAAATGCCTTCGAGTAGATGATAGCGCGACTAACATTCACTCACTCACTTAAAATTGTCGTCATTGCGTTGATTTTAGACATAGAATATGACTGAATTAAAGATGCTTGTGAGCGACTGCCCCCGTAGTCGCTCACTCTCTTACCGTCATGCCTACCGAAAAGTGTTGGAGGAAATAA